TGCTGGCTCGGAAGGTGAGAGGTGCCCACGGGCACTGAGGGGGGGGGAATTTGGCATGACAGGGTGCCCCTGACCCCCCTCTTTCCCACAGGTGGGGGGCTGCCACCCACGGGCGAGCTACACATCTGGGTGAAGGATGCCCAGAGCCTCATCCCTCTGCAGAGCGGCACCGTTGATGCTTTTGTGCAGTGGTAAGAGGTGGGGATGGCACCCAGGGGGGCACCCAGAGGTGCTGGGGGGGGGTTATGGGTGTCCCTCACCCCTCTGTGCACCCCCAGCTACGTGCTGCCGGATGACAGCAAGGCGAGCCGGCAGAAGACGCGGGTGGTGAAGAGGAGCCTCAACCCCCTCTTCAACCACACCATGGTCTACGATGGCTTCCAAGCCAAGGACCTGGCCGAAGCCTGCGCCGAGTTCACCCTCTGGCACCACGAAGCCTTTTCCAAACGCCAGCTGGGGGGGATCCGGCTCAGCCTGGGCACAGGTGAGGTCAGGGGAAGGTGGACACGGGACCTGGGCACCCCAGGGTTTTGCAGGGGGTGGTGGCAGTGGCACGTGGTGGTGGTGACGGCGGTTGGTGTCTCCACAGGGAGCAGCTACGGGCTGGCCGTGGGCTGGATGGACTCAACGGCGGAGGAACGGGGGGTCTGGGGGCGCCTCCTCCAGCAGCCCGGGCAGTGGGTGGAAGCTCTGTTGCCCCTTCGGACCAACCTGGTCCCCCGGGCATAACCCCACCACCATCACCATCACCATCACCACCACCACCACCCCCAGCTCCTCAGGGACCACCTGGTGCCTGTGGGACCCGGGTTGGGGACAGAGCTGAAGCCCAGAGCATCACTCTGTGGGGCTGGGGTCTGTGTGTCCCCCCTCTGCCCCTTTCAGCAGCAATGAAGTGACACCGGAGGGCACAGTTGGTGGCTCTTTATTGCTGGGTGTCCCCCAACTTCTCCCTCCATCGTGGGGCTGGAGACGCTGCGTCTGGCTGTTCCCCTTGGGGGGCTGTCCCCTCTGTCACCATCCTGCCAGCCCCACAGCGGCTGGGTCCCCCCAGGGGGGTGTCACTGGGTCCCCCCAGGGGGGTGTCACAGCACCGGGGCTCACTCCCTGCCCCCTGGGTGAGGGACCAGCGATGCTCCAGGATGGTTGCCCAGAGGCGACACGCTGGCCCACGCCTGCAGGGGACACGGATGGTGGAGAGAGGGGACCAAGCTGTGGGTGGCATCACCCCCTTTTCTCAGTGCTGCTCCCCCCCCGATTTCCCCCCCCCTCCCCTGGCCAGCCCAGGAGGGACAACACGGGCTGGGGGTACCTGATGCCCACGTAGAAGAGGTCATCACGGGTGGCACAGCCCAGCAGGTCCCGCAGGGTGAAGCCGTGGGCGAGGAGCTGTGGGAGGTGGTGGTGGGTGTTGGGTGGGACAATGTTGGTGGGGGGGGGGTTGCCCTGCTCATACCCAGCAGGGTCCACCCCCCAGAGCCCCCCAGCTCTGGGTGCCAAGTGGCCATGGGCCTCACCGTGGCCATGGTGGCCTGGTCCGTGCCATGGTGCTGCAGCCACTGGAGGAGGAGGGGGTCAGTGTGTCCCTGGAGGGGCTGGGGACTCAGGGGGGAGCGATCCTGCCCCGGGGGGGGCTCCCCACTGCTCTGGGGGCGGCTGGGGACGGGGGTGTCATTGTCCCCAGAGAGGAGCATCCGCTGCATCAGCCTCTGCCACTCCTGCTCCTTCTCTGCCAGCTCCTGGAGCAGCCTGGGGGAGAGCAGAGCAGAGAGGGGCTGGCACCCCACCGTGGGGGCACGGGGGGGACACAGGGTGACAACCAGGGTGATGGAGGCACCAGTGGGGTCAGTCCTACCTGCCTGTCTCCATGCGGAGGTGGCAGAGCTGTGCCACCAGCCCCGAGGGTGCTGGCAAGGAGGGGAGGGGGTCCACCTGGGCACCGGGGCTGGTGCTGAGCCCCAAATTGGTGCTGAGCCCCGAATTGGTGCTGTCCTGCTGGGGTTGGCTCCTCGGGATGGACAGCCTCGGTGGCACGGGGTCATCCTCGTCGCTTGCATCCTTGGTGCCATCCCCCCGCAGGCAGCTGACCTTCAGTCCCAGGTCTGGGGGGGCAGAGGTGGTGGTGGGCACAGAGAGGTGCCCAACGGCCTCAGACCCCACAACATCGGGGGCAAAACAGGGAGCTGGGCCCAGCCAAGGCTGCCCCAGTGGTGGCTCCCCCCCTCATACCCCTTTCCTGGCACCCCAAAGTCCCCCAGCCCAGGCCAGGCCAGTTGCCCCCTTCCTTCACCCACTCAGTCACGCTGGTGGCACCCAGAGCCACGTCCCAGTCACCCCCCCAGTGCCACCCACCTCTCTGCAGCACGGTGAGAGCTGCCTGCACCGCCTGGCTGGTGGTGTCATCCAGGGCAAACATCCAGTGGGGTTTGATGTGGTGCTGGCGCAGCACCCGCCTCACCTGGAAGGGGTAGAGCCGTGCCAGGGTGACACCACTGGGCCAGTTGCCACCTTCCTCCCCCCACTCAGTCACGCTGGTGGCACCCGGAGCCACGTCCCAGTCACCCCCCCAGTGCCACCCACCTCTCTGCAGCACGGTGAGAGCTGCCTGCACCGCCTGGCTGGTGGTGTCATCCAGGGCAAACATCCAGTGGGGTTTGATGTGGTGCTGGCGCAGAACCCGCCTCACCTGGAAGGGGTAGAGCCGTGCCAGGGTGACACCACCTGCACCACCTCAGTGCCGTGCCAGGGCATCACCTGCACCAGGGCATCACTTGCACCAGGGCATCACTTGCACCAGGGGCAGTGCCGTGCCTGGGCATCACAATGCCAGGGCATTACCGTGCCAGGGCATTGCTATGCCAAGGTATCGCTGTGCCAGGGGCATCACCATGCTGAGGGCATCACTTATGCCAGGGCATGACCCTGCTGGGGTATTGCTGTGCTGGGGCATCGCTTGCACCAGGGCATCACCATGCTAGGGCATTGCTATGCCAGGTTATCACCATGCTGGTGGCATCACTGTGCTGGAGCATTGCTGTGCCAGGCTATCACCATTCTGGTGGCATCACTGTGCCAGGGCATTGCTGTGCCAGGCTATCACCATTCTGGTGGCATCACTGTGCTGGGGCATCACTGTGCCAGGCTATCACCATTCTGGTGGCATCACTGTGCCAGGGCATTGCTGTGCCAAGTTATTACCATGCTGGTGGCATTACTGTGCCAGGCTATCACCATTCTGGTGGCATCACTGTGCTGGGGCATCACTGTGCCAGGCTATCACCATTCTGGTGGCATCACTGTGCTGGGGCATCACTGTGCCAGGCTATCACCATTCTGGTGGCATCACTGTGCTGGGGCATCACTGTGCCAGGCTATCACCATTCTGGTGGCATCACTGTGCTGGGGCATCACTGTGCCAGGCTATCACCATTCTGGTGGCATCACTGTGCTGGGGCATCACTGTGCCAGGCTATCACCATTCTGGTGGCATCACTGTGCTGGGGCATCACTGTGCCAGGCTATCACCATTCTGGTGGCATCACTGTGCCAGGGCATTGCTGTGCCAGGCTATCACCATGCTGGTGGCATCACTGTGCCAGGCTATCACCATGCTGGTGCCATCACTGTGCCCGGGCTTTGCTGTGCCAGGCTATCACCATTCTGATGGCATCACTGTGCCAGGCTATCACCATGCTGGGGGCATCACTGTGCTGGAGCATTGCTGTGCCAGGCTATCACCATGCTGGGGCATCATTTGCACCAGGGCATCACCATGCGAGGGCATGGCTTGTAGCAGGGTATCTCTTGCACCAGGGCATCACCCACTCCTGGGCATCACCGTGCGAGGACATCACCTTGCCAGGAGGTCACCCACCCAGCACCCCACGCCGGGCACTCACCGCTGCCTGGAAGGCGAAGAGAGGAGCCTGGAGGTGGGGGAGGCTCAGCCCCTCTGCCCGCAGCCGGCTCTGCAGTGCCAGGAGGTCCTGGCACAGCCTCTGCTGGCTGGGGCACTGGATGTAGCTCCTCAGGCAGCTCAACAGCTGAGCGAGATGCTCCCAGCCCAACCTCGGCCCCGCCGTGCCCTGGGTGGACAAAGGAGATGCTGAGAGGGTACCCCTATGCCCACCCACCCAAAATCCCGGGCACTGGCACCCACCTGGCTCTCCTCTAGGGCAGCGATGATGGTGGGTGCCTCGGTGGTGAGGACCCGGTGCAGGGTGGCCCGGCGCTTGCTGTCCTTCCGCAGGAGGAACCCGTCCCTGCTCTCCTCGGGGGAGGACGAGCGGGGGCTTCGGTCGGAGCCACCCGAGCCCTGGGCAGTGCTGGAGAATGGGGGGGGGGGGAGGTGGGCAAGTGCCCCCCCAACCCCAACCCCAGCCTCGGGCATTTAGGAGCATGGCCTCAGAGTGGGCACAGCCATCGGGCTTGGGAGGGGGGTGTGGGGGGACCTTCTGAAAGCCCCCCCAAGATGGGATGGGATGGGATGGGATGGGATGGGATGGGATGGATGAAGCTGGGAGGGATGCGATGCCCTGGCACAACGAGGGGGCACGGTGGGGTGCAGCGTTGGGACATGGCAGGGGGGCTGAGTGTCACGGGGGGGGGCTGAGTGTCATGGGGGGGGCTGAAAGCCAATGCCCCCCCGGGGTCCCTCCATCCCCCCCATTCCCAGGATGCCCTACCCCAAGTAGCTGCAACTGGAGGCTGCCTCTCTGGGGTGGTGGCACGGGGGGCTGCCCGCCGTGCCCCTCACCGGGGCATCCTGCCTGGCTGAGGAACATCCCTTGCTCCCATCGCTGCCCTCCACATCCCCATCCCGCTGCCCAAAGTCGGGGGCATCACCTGGCAGGGAGATGATGGAGATGGTTTTTGGGGGCAGGTAGTAGTGCCAGCTCCACCCCCCCCTCTATTCTGCCACCCCAGACTCACCCCCCGCCGGGGGCAGGGGTCTGCTCCGAGCCCTCCTGGCATCGGTGAGGAAGGGGTCCTGCAGCAGCGCGGTGGCCGTGGCCCTCTCGGCAGGGTCGGCCTGGAAGCAGCGTAGGATGAAGCTCTTGGCTTTGTCCGACATGGATTCGGGCACCTCCGGGTGCATCTTGAACATGCCCACCTGGAAAGGAGGCACTTGTGGGGCTGCAAAGGGACCTCCCACCCCACAGGGGTAACTGGAGAACCTCCCTCATCCCCTCCCTCTCCCCATGGGTACCTTGAACATGGCAGCCTGGGGGTTGCCCAGCTCGTAGAAGGGGGGTTTGCCCGTGGCCATCTCGATGATGGTGCAGCCCAGGGACCAGATATCTGCTGGCTTCCCGTAGCCCCACGGCCCTTGGTCGATGATTTCTGGGGCCATGTACTGCAGGGTGCCTGGGGAGAGGATGAGGAGGGGTGAGAGGAATCCGTATCCATCACCCAACCCTGCCCAGGGTGGGGGTTCTCCTCCTCCCCACGCTGGGTACAAGGATGCAGACCCCATCATCGCCTGGTCCTCAGCATCCCACCACCCCCACCTTGGTGGAACCCTGTCCCCAGCCCTGGGCTGTCCTACCTGTGAAGGTCTCAGCGCTGGGGCTGATGCCCGCCAGCCTCTTGGAGGTACCGAAGTCAGAGATCTTCAACACCCCACTGTAGGTGTTGATGAGGACGTTGTCTCCCTGGCATGAGATGGGCACCCCAAAATCAAACCAAGCCACAAAAAGCTCCTGGAACTCAAGCAGCACCATTGTGCATCGCCCTAGGGGCTTTGGGCATGGAGGGGAAGCTCCTGGTTGCCCGGTGACCCTTGAAGATGGGGGGGTTCAGGCTTTGTGCCCCCAGGATGGGTGATGCCCCCTCACCCCCTCACCTTGATGTCACGGTGCACGATGTGGTTGTCGTGGAGGTAGCTGAGCCCGTCGAGGATCTGGCGGGTGTAGAAGATGATGGTGGGTTCGTTGTCCTTCAGGGGTCCCCACTTGGAGCGCAGAAGGGATGAGAGGCTCCCTGGAGAGGGGCAGCACCCCCATTTAGACCCTACACGTGGCCACGTGGTCTCTTTTTGACCCCCCAAATCCCGTCCCCAGCGCTGCCCACCTCCCGGCACCTCCTCCATGAAGATCTTGATGAAGCCATCCTGGCTGACGGAGCCCAGGTACTGCACGATGTTCCTGTGCCGCAGGCGCTTGTGCAAGGCGATCTCCTCGTGCAAGGGCTGCGAGAATCTGTGCAATGGGATGGAGTGGTGAAGGGGGGGGTGCCCCAGAGCCCCCTGGGACCCCCCCAGCGTGGCACCCACCGGCTGTCCCGCTCCGGGATCTCCTTGATAGCGATGCGCACTTGGTTGTTGAGGCAGCGCCCGGCGTAGACGACCCCAAATGTCCCCCTGCCCAGGACCACCCTCTTGCCCGCCTCCGAGTACTCGTAGCTGTACTGTGGGCAGAGACGTGGGGTGGCAGCCCGTGTCACCCAGTGTCACCCAGTGTCACCCTCGTGTCCCCATCTCACCTCCAGGATGGGCTGCGTGGGGCTGGGCACCTCCTCGCCACCCAACCCCTGCTCGGCCAGGAGGGACTGGATCTGGTCACAGAACCTGCCGGAGGGAGAACAACGGTCCTGAGCCCTGGGGAGGACGCTGGGGACTTGCCCACCCACCCCCTGGCACCGAGGGGCTCCTGGTCCCCATCCCAGTCTGTCCCCCACCAGTGGCACGACCCAGGTGTAGGGCTTGGGTCCTTAGGACACCTCTTTCCCCCAAAAAATTAAGGTAGGGAAGAAATTACACAATTGCATGCTCCCATCCCTCCCTGCTCCCCAGGGCAGTGATTGGGGGGTCCCTGGTGCCCCCACCAGCAATGGGGGGGGGGTGTCCCTATGCCCCCCAGCCCCTGGCTCACCACTGGCAGTGCTGCTGGGAGGGGAAGTAGAGCTGGAAATCCTCCTCCTCATGCACCACGTAGAGGAAGCAGCCCCGTTCACATCCCAGTCTGTCCCCCACCAGTGGCACAACACAGCTGTAGGGCTTGGGTCCTTAGGACACCTCTTTCCCCCAAAAAATTAAGGTAGGGAAGAAATTGCACAATCGGATGCTCCCATCCCTCCTTGCTCACCAGGGCAGTGATTGGGGGGTCCCTTGTGCCCCCACCAGCAATGGGGGGGGTGTCCCTATGCCCCCCAGCCCCTGGCTCACCACTGGCAGTGCTGCTGGGAGGGGAAGTAGAGCTGGAAATCCTCCTCCTCATGCACCACGTAGAGGAAGCAGCCCCGTTCATCACGCTTGCAGATGCTGGAGGGAGAGGACAACCCCCCCCAACCCAGCCCCATGAGCTGTGGGGCAGGTTGGAGGGGCTGCAGGCACATGGGGGGCACCCTCGGTCCTGTGGGTGACGGGACTGGGGACATGCTCACCTCACACCCCGGATGGCTGTGGCTGCAAAGGTCCAGCTTGATGTCACCTTCTGCAGGAGAAGGGGCAGGGAAGGAGTGGGGGTCGGTGGGGACCACCCCCCCCTAGACCTCCCAGCCCCATCCCTACCTCCTCCGTGGGGCAGACGAGGGTGAGTGTCAGGGTGGCATCCTCCGTGCCACCGTGCAGTGCCAACCGAGCCGGCCGCAGGACCTTGTTGAGCTCCAGGACCAGGACCTGTGGCAGTGGGGGGGCTGCTGAGTGACCCCCCCAAACCCATTGCATCCCCAGCTGCATCCCTCAGCCCCCACCCTCCCACTTGGGTGGGCACCCGTGGGCTGCTTGGTGCCTCCCCAAAGCCCTGGTGAGCCCAGATGACCAGGTGGTCCCCCAGGAGGTCTGGGGGTCTGGGCAGGAGGGGTTGGCTCCCTGTGGCCCCTCACCGGGCAGTGTGGTGTGGCAACGAAGGGCTGGCACGCCTGGAGGAGGAAGCCCAACCAGAAATCAGCCAGCTCCTGCCGGGCAGAGGGCACCTGCGGGCTCCTCTGAAAGTGTTTGTAGAGCAGGAAGGTCTCCATGACCGATACCAGGTACCTGTGGGGACGTGAGGGATGGGAGAGAAGACAGATGTCCCCAGCACCTCCTAAAACCCCCTAAACCTCCTCCTGGGTCATAGCCACCAGGGACTGGTGACCCAGGCTTGCCCGGGTGGACACCACCCAACCCCTGCTTGGCCAGGAGGGACTGGATCTGGTCACAGAACCTGCCGGAGGGAGGACAACAGTCCTGAGCCATGGGGAGGACTCTGGGGACTTGCCCACCCACCCCCTGGCACCGAGGGGCTCCTGGTCCCCATCCCAGTCTGTCCCCCACCAGTGGCACGACCCAGGTGTAGGGCTTGGGTCCTTAGGACACCCCTTTCCCTTGCCCAGATGGACACATGCCGTGCCGTGCCATACCAGCCTGGCGCGTTGAGCTTGTAGAGCTTCTCAGAGGCTTGGATGACTTTGCTGAGGTCGTTGGCCAAGATGCCCGCTCCCAGGCAAAATCCCACATCCCAGTAGTAGTGCAGCTCCTCCAGGCTGCCCTTGCGACCCTGCAGGCAGCTCAGCTTCACCCCTGCATGTGGGACCCAGAACCCATCACCCCTCCGTCGCCAACCCAGCACCCTTTAGACCCTACACGTGGCCACGTGGTCTCTTTTTGACCCCCCAAATCCCGTCCCCAGCGCTGCCCACCTCCCGGCACCTCCTCCATGAAGATCTTGATGAAGCCATCCTGGCTGACGGAGCCCAGGTACTGCACGATGTTCCTGTGCCGCAGGCGCTTGTGCAAGGCGATCTCCTCGTGCAAGGGCTGCGAGAACCTGTGCAATGGGATGGAGTGATGAGGGGGGGTGCCCCAGAGCCCCCTGGGACCCCCCCAGAATGGTACCCACCGGCTGTCCCGCTCCGGGATCTCCTTGATAGCGATGCGCACTTGGTTGTTGAGGCAGCGCCCGGCGTAGACGACCCCAAATGTCCCCCTGCCCAGGACCACCCTCTTGCCCGCCTCCGAGTACTCGTAGCTGTACTGTGGGCAGAGACGTGGGGTGGCAGCCCGTGTCACCCAGTGTCACCCAGTGTCACCCTCGTGTCCCCATCTCACCTCCAGGATGGGCTGCGTGGGGCTGGGCACCTCCTCGCCACCCAACCCCTGCTCGGCCAGGAGGGACTGGATCTGGTCACAGAACCTGCCGGAGGGAGAACAACGGTCCTGAGCCCTGGGGAGGACGCTGGGGACTTGCCCACCCACCCCCTGGCACCGAGGGGCTCCTGGTCCCCATCCCAGTCTGTCCCCCACCAGTGGCACAACACAGCTGTAGGGCTTGGGTCCTTAGGACACCTCTTTCCCCCAAAAAATTAAGGTAGGGAAGAAATTGCACAATCGGATGCTCCCATCCCTCCTTGCTCACCAGGGCAGTGATTGGGGGGTCCCTTGTGCCCCCACCAGCAATGGGGGGGGTGTCCCTATGCCCCCCAGCCCCTGGCTCACCACTGGCAGTGCTGCTGGGAGGGGAAGTAGAGCTGGAAATCCTCCTCCTCATGCACCACGTAGAGGAAGCAGCCCCGTTCATCACGCTTGCAGATGCTGGAGGGAGAGGACAACCCCCCCCAACCCAGCCCCATGAGCTGTGGGGCAGGTTGGAGGGGCTGCAGGCACATGGGGGGCACCCTCGGTCCTGTGGGTGACGGGACTGGGGACATGCTCACCTCACACCCCGGATGGCTGTGGCTGCAAAGGTCCAGCTTGATGTCACCTTCTGCAGGAGAAGGGGCAGGGAAGGAGTGGGGGTCGGTGGGGACCACCCCCCCCTAGACCTCCCAGCCCCATCCCTACCTCCTCCGTGGGGCAGACGAGGGTGAGTGTCAGGGTGGCATCCTCCGTGCCACCGTGCAGTGCCAACCGAGCCGGCCGCAGGACCTTGTTGAGCTCCAGGACCAGGACCTGTGGCAGTGGGGGGGCTGCTGAGTGACCCCCCCAAACCCATTGCATCCCCAGCTGCATCCCTCAGCCCCCACCCTCCCACTTGGGTGGGCACCCGTGGGCTGCTTGGTGCCTCCCCAAAGCCCTGGTGAGCCCAGATGACCAGGTGGTCCCCCAGGAGGTCTGGGGGTCTGGGCAGGAGGGGTTGGCTCCCTGTGGCCCCTCACCGGGCAGTGTGGTGTGGCAACGAAGGGCTGGCACGCCTGGAGGAGGAAGCCCAACCAGAAATCAGCCAGCTCCTGCCGGGCAGAGGGCACCTGCGGGCTCCTCTGAAAGTGTTTGTAGAGCAGGAAGGTCTCCATGACCGATACCAGGTACCTGTGGGGACGTGAGGGATGGGAGAGAAGACAGATGTCCCCAGCACCTCCTAAAACCCCCTAAACCTCCTCCTGGGTCATAGCCACCAGGGACTGGTGACCCAGGCTTGCCCGGGTGGACACCACCCAACCCCTGCTTGGCCAGGAGGGACTGGATCTGGTCACAGAACCTGCCGGAGGGAGGACAACAGTCCTGAGCCATGGGGAGGACTCTGGGGACTTGCCCACCCACCCCCTGGCACCGAGGGGCTCCTGGTCCCCATCCCAGTCTGTCCCCCACCAGTGGCACGACCCAGGTGTAGGGCTTGGGTCCTTAGGACACCCCTTTCCCTTGCCCAGATGGACACATGCCGTGCCGTGCCATACCAGCCTGGCGCGTTGAGCTTGTAGAGCTTCTCAGAGGCTTGGATGACTTTGCTGAGGTCGTTGGCCAAGATGCCCGCTCCCAGGCAAAATCCCACATCCCAGTAGTAGTGCAGCTCCTCCAGGCTGCCCTTGCGACCCTGCAGGCAGCTCAGCTTCACCCCTGCATGTGGGACCCAGAACCCATCACCCCTCCGTCGCCAACCCAGCACCTGGGCACAACCGCTCCGGGGGTGCCCCGATGCCAACGGACCCCCGTCCCTGCTCCCCTAACCCTGGTGGGTCCTTGTCCTTGACCTACAGGTGGGCACCCACCGATTTGCTGCAGCTGCAGGGAGGTTTCGAGCTGGTGCCCGGCGGCCATGAGGAGGACGGCGGCGTTGATGCCCGCGTGGAGGCTCGGCTCCACCTCGAAGGCTTTGCTGTACCTGGGGTAGAGATGCTGGGTGGAGGGCACGGCTGCTGCCAACCCCCCCCCTGCCAGCCAAAAGGCGGCTGCATCGAGGTCCTGGAGCTGCCCCCTGTGATGGGGGAGCACCCAAAAAGCAGAAAAAAAAAAGCTTCTCAGAGGCTTGGATGACTTTGCTGAGGTCGTTGGCCAAGATGCCCGCTCCCAGGCAAAATCCCACATCCCAGTAGTAGTGCAGCTCCTCCAGGCTGCCCTTGCGACCCTGCAGGCAGCTCAGCTTCACCCCTGCATGTGGGACCCAGAACCCATCACCCCTCCGTCGCCAACCCAGCACCCGGGCACGACCGCTCTGGGGGTGTCCCGATGCCAACGGACCCCCGTCCCTGCTCCCCTAACCCTGGTGGGTCCTTGTCCTTGACCTACAGGTGGGCACCCACCGATTTGCTGCAGCTGCAGGGAGGTTTCGAGCTGGTGCCCGGCGGCCATGAGGAGGACGGCGGCGTTGATGCCCGCGTGGAGGCTCGGCTCCACCTCGAAGGCTTTGCTGTACCTGGGGTAGAGATGCTGGGTGGAGGGCACGGCTGCTGCCAACCCCCCCCCTGCCAGCCAAAAGGCGGCTGCATCGAGGTCCTGGAGCTGCCCCCTGTGATGGGGGAGCACCCAAAAAGCAGAAAAAAAACCAAACCCAAAAGAAGTAAAACTATAAAAGCCCAGCAGGGATTCTTCTAGGTTGGAAGGGACCTTAAAGATCATGTCCAACAGTCAACCTGATTTTGACAAAAATAGACACCCACACAACGAACAAAAAGCAACACCATCACTAAACCACATCTCCCAGCACCACATCAACCCCTCTTTTGAACACCTCCAGGGATGGTGCCTCCACCACCTCCCTGGGCAGCCCATTCCAAGGGCTGAGAACCCTTTTGGGGAAGAAATTTTTCCTAATATCCAGCCTGAACCTCCCCTGGCGCAACTTGAGGCCATTTCCTCTTGTCCCATTGCCTGGGACTTGGAATTAGCATCACCTGCCTCGGTGCTGCTGCGGGGGTGGTATGAAAGTGGGGCTGCTGTGCTGAAAGAGCCCCCCGGGATGGGGACACGGGCAGGCAGGTGGCTCCCAACCCTGTCCCCAACCTCACCAGTAGAAAGCCCGGTCCCTCATCTCAGCGTCGGTGAAGCTGGAGTCGATGAACATGTCCTTGTAGACGCGGCCGCACAAGCAGAGGAGGTCGGGGGCAGCCCCCTCCTCGCTCTCCACCACGGGCAGCAGCACCCACAGGGCTTTCTCCCTGTCCCCGTCACGGTTACGCCTGTGGACATCCCACCAGTGGTCAACGAAGAGCATCACCTCGGTCCCCCCAACCCCTGGTTCCATGCCATGGGGGTGCGTGTTGCCCCCCACCTCCCTCCATCCCTCCCTCCCCACCATCTCTCACCGGCTGAGGGCAAAGGCGTAGTGGAAGCGGACGTTGGGCTGCTCGGCCACGGAGCAGGTTGGCAGCGCCTGGAGGGTCTCCACCAGCGAGATGATGGCATCGTAATCCTGCGGGGACAACGGTGGGGGCTGAGCTGGTGGCCCCCCAGGCTGCCCGTCCCCAGCTCCATCCCAGGCGACAGGACGAGAGGAAATGGCCTCAAGTTATGCCAGGGGAGGTTCAGGCTGGATATTAGGAAAAATTTTTTCCACCAAAAAGGGTTCTCAGCCATTGGAATGGGCTGCCCAGGGAGGTGGTGGAGGCACCATCCCTGGAGGTGTCCAAAAGAGGGGTTGATGTAGTGCTGGGAGGTCTGGTTTAGTGATGGTGTTGCTTTTTGTTTGTTGTGCGGGTGTTTATTTTGGTCAAAGTTAGGTTGACGGTTGGCCAAGATGATCTTTAAGGTCCCTTCCAACCTAGAAGATTCTGTGATTCTGTGGGGCAACGTTCTCCTTGGACCAGCCAAGCCCTGAGGGTTACAAGCTCCACCGAGTCAGGGCAGGCTGTGGGGCACACACACACCCCCCAGGATGGCAACAGGGTCCCAAACACCTCCCCGGGGATGTTTAGACCCCCCCTCACACCTGCACATCGCGGTAGGAGAGGAGAAGGTTGACCACGATGTCCAGGCTGAGCAGCTCCACGCTGTCCAGGCGCTGCTGCAATGTTCTCCTTGGACCAGCCAAGCCCTGAGGTTTACAAGCTCCACCGAGTCAGGGCAGGCTGTGGGGCACACACACACCCCCCAGGATGCCAACGTGGTCCCCAACACCCCCCCGGGGATATTTAGACCCCCCCTCACACCTGCACATCGCGGTAGGAGAGGAGAAGGTTGACCACGATGTCCAGGCTGAGCAGCTCCACGCTGTCCAGGCGCTGCTGGATACGGGTCAGCTCCCGGCTCAGCTGCTCCCCTCGGAACATCTCCCGTGCCCTCCGGATATCCCGCCGGATCGTCTCCCGAAAATACCCACTGGGAATTGGGGAGGGATGTGGGATTTTGAGGGGTGGTGGCAAATTCTCTGCCAAGCCCTGCCAGCCCACGTGGGTTTGCCCGGAGGTGGTGGAGATGGGGGTGGGCAGAGGTACCAGGAGTCAGTGGGGATGCCCTCCAGCAGCTGGACGAGGCGGGCTGCCAGGGGGGTGAAGGAGGTCTCCGTCTCGAAATTGGGCTGGAAAAGCTCCGTCAGGCACTTGACGGCCCCGGCGTTGCAGCAGACGACCTTGTTGTGGGGTGTCACCATGTAGGGGATGAAGGTGTAGCTGCCGCAGAGGTCCTGAGGGAGGGGAGAAGGGGTGAGCGGCTCTGCCAGCTGAGCTGAGAACCCCTCAAACTCGTGTCACAGACCAGTCTCCTCTCCCCAAGCCTGCCCGGGCCATGCTAATTAGAACCACCTTCCATAAATCATTAGCGGGGAAAGACAAACCAGCTTTATCTCCGACTGCCATCATTACGCTCCAGAGTGAACATTCAAAACCAGGCACCCCCTTCCATGCTGCTGTTCCCGGCTTTTGCTCTGAGCAAGTGATACCCCCCCAACTCAGATTTGGGGAAAGGTCTTCCTCCCTGTCTGCAATGTCCACCCTCGAGGGTCAGGGAGAAGCCACTCGGGGGGAGAAGGAAGTTCAACCCCCCCACAGTGAGCACAGGGACAGGAGACACACCGAGTTCTTCTGGCAGATGTCCTCCTGGGGAGAGAGAAAAGGAGGGAGGAGGAATTTAATGAGCATCCCCCGGGAAAAGAAAATCAGCTGATTTCAGGCTCAGGGATCGGAGTTTACCTGGAAAACAGCCAGGGACAGCGAGGGACGCCGGGGGCAAGGGACAAGGGACAAGGATCAAGGGACACGAGCGTTGCGTGTGGCCCCCCCCACCCCAGGCAGGCCTGCAAACACAGCTGGTTTCTCCTCCAAACCCAGCACAGGGAGGTCTCCAAATGGGTGCTCCCCTGAGTCGGGGTGACATTTGGGGACGATTTGGCTGTTCTCCCATCCACATTTCCCCCCCAGAATCCCTCCCGCCGGCCCCTCCTGTGCAGAGGGGGGGTTGGCTTCCCAGGAATTGGCTTTTCCCATAGCGCCTGCTCCCAAATTCCTGGCCAGCTGGGGCCAGGGGAGAACCCACCACCCACCCACCCAGCTCCGGGGCTCAGCGGGGTCCCCGGCCCCCCCCTCCTCATCCCATCCAGGAGCAGGGAAACCTCTGCCAGAGCAGGATGCGACCGTGGGGAGGGGATGCGCCCGGGCTCAGGGGAGGGATGGAGATCCCCCTCCTGCCAACACAGATGCTCCGGGGACTTGGGGTGATTCCCCACCCTGGAGAAGCAGCAGCAGAGGGGCTGGGGTGTCCCTGTCCCCGTCCCCACTGACCTGCAGGGCCTGGAGGGGGGGCAGGTCGGTCTGGCAGCACAGCAGGACGTTGTGGGACATGTTGAAGCTCTCGCGGACCCCCAGGTGGTAGAAGAGGGAGGGTTGGCAGACAGAGTCACTCAGCTCCACCACAGCCACGTCTGCGGGCAGGACAGAGGGGGTGGATGCCCACGGGACCGATGCCAGACCCCAAATTCACGGGGCAGGGCAACCAGCCACCCCTGAATTCGTGGGGGAGGGAAGAGGGGGGGGATCTGCATCCCCTAAGAGAGGAGAGGATGCCCCCCGCCCAGGTTGAACCCCGTGCAAACCTTCCTCAAAAAGAACCACCCTTTTCGAAAAATCACACCCACCACCAGGGAGAAAGATGACCCGACAAATGTCCAACCACCCCGGAAAGCAAACAGGAGGAAGGCAGGAAAGCAAACAGAGAACAGCCCGAGGACACAGCTGGGAGGCAGGGAAAGTCTCGGCCCAGATCATGGAATCACAGATTTGTCAGGGTTGGAAGGGACCTTCTAGAGACCATCCAGCCCAACTCCCTGCCAAAGCAGGGCTGCCCAGAGCACATCACTCAGGAGCATCCAGGCGGGGCTTGAAGATCTCCAGATTTGGGACTCCACACCCTCCCTGGGCAGCCTCTGCCAGGGCTCTGCTACCCTCACCCCAAACAAGTTCTGCCTCACATTGGAGTGGAACTTCCCATGGTCCAGCTTGTGCCCGTTGCCCCTCGTCCTGTCACTGGGACCCACTGAGAAGAGTCTGGCTCCATCCTCCCTCAACCCACCCTTGAGATATTTGGAAGCATGAAGAAGGTCTCCCCTCAGCCTTCTCTTCTCCAGGCTCAAGAGCCCCAGCTCCCTCAGCCTTTCCTCATCAGGGAGATGCTCCAATCCCTCCATCATCTCTGTTGCCCTTCGCTGGACTCTCTCCAGCAGTTCCCTGTCTCTCTTGAACTGGGGAGCCCAGAACTGGACGCAGGATTCCAGTTGTGGCCTCCCCAGTGCAGAGCAGAGGGGGAGAATGACCTCCCTCCACCTCCTGGCCACACTCTTCCCTACGCAGCCCAGGATCCTGTTGGCCTCTTGGCCACAAGGGCCCATTGCTGGCTCCTGGAGAGTTCACTGTCCACCAGGACCCCCAGATCCTTCTCCTCAGAAGTGCTTTCCAGCAGGTCCATCCCTAACCTGTAGTGGTGCCTGGGGTTCTTCCTCCCCAGGTGCAGGACCCTACACTTGCCCTTGTTGAACCTCATGAGGTTCTTCTCTGCCCAGCTCTCCAGCCTGTCCAGGTCACTCTGGATGGTGCCACATCCCTCAAGATCATAGAATCATAGAATTTTCCAGGCCAGAAGGGACCTCCAAAGGCCATCTAGTCCGACCCCCCCGCAGTCAGCAGGGACACCCCCAACTAGACCAGGTTGCCCAGGGCCTCGTCGAGCCTCTCCTTGAATATCTCCAGGGAAGGGGCCTCAACCACCTCCCTGGGCAACCTGTTCCAGTGCTCCACCACCCTCACAGTGAAGAACCCTCTCCTCATCTCCAGTCTAAATCTGTTCCCCTCCAGCTTGAAGCCATTGCCCCTCGTCCTGTCACTGCAGGCCTTTCTAAACAGGATCTCCCCCGCCTTCCTGTAGCCCCCTCAGGTACTGGTAGGCTGCTATTAGGTCTCCCTGGAGCCTCCTCTTCTCCAGG